ACCCCTCCGTGAGCACTACGCTGCCCACAATTGGCGGTGGAGGCATCACAACCCTAGGAGACACTCTTCTCCTCGAGACTCTGGCTCACTTCAACCGTGAGCGGATCCCAGAAAGGTACCTGTTCCCTTCCTCCACCATCAAGCCCCCTTTCCAGTCCATCCTCATCTAACCAACAAAACCTCTGCAGGGTCGTCCACGCAAAAGCAGCCGGCGCATGGGGAGAGTTTGAAGTGACAAACGACGTATCGTCCCTAACCTCCGCTAAGTTCCTCAACGGTATTGGAAAGAAAACCCCCGTTTTGTTTCGACTCAGCACGACGGGTGGTGAAAAGGGTAGTGCGGATACTGTGCGAGATGTGCGTGGATTTTCAGTCAAGTTCTTCACCGAAGAAGGGAACCATGATATTGTGGGAAACCATATCGTATGTATACCCACCTACCGTGTTTTATGTGTTGGATAGAAAGAGTTCGAGGATGTGTGTGCTAAATGATGCCAATAGCCTGTCTTCTTCGTCCGAGACCCTATTCGCTTCCCCTCCCTGAACAGAAGCCATAAACGGCACCCTGCCACGAATCGTCCGGATTGGACCATGGTATGTCCCTCACCTTCTGGCCATATATTTGCTATCCTACCTACCACATAATATACTAACCAACTCACCTTCTGGGGTACCACAGTTCTGGGACTTCCACACCAACCAACCCGAAAGCGTCCACGCATTGCTCCATCTCTTCGGCTCTCGAGGCATTCCAGGCTCCATTCGATCCGTCACTGGCTTCGGCGTACACACCTTCAAGCTCGTATCCCCCGATGGCACCTTCCGGTACTGCAAGTTCCATTTTCGGCCTGAGCTCGACGGAAAATATTTCTCCGGACAAGAAGCCGCCCGTATGGCTGGGGTGGATGCTGATTTCCATAACTTGGATTTGTGGGATGCTATTGCACGGGGGCAGTATCCGGTTTGGAAGCTGTATGTGCAGGTTATGGAACCTGAGAGGGCGGAAGAATTCGGACGGGGACTATTTGATATTACAAAGGTTTGGTCGCATAAGGAGTTCCCACTCATTGAAGTGGGCAAGATGACCCTGAATAAGAATGTGAGTTATGTCTCTTTGATAATTGGTGGCATAGCTTTGGGGTGGGTGGCGTGTCGTGTGCTAACATAGTAACAGCCCGGAAATTACTTCGCCGAAATCGAACAGGCGGCGTTTTCGCCATCGAATATGGTGCCTGGGATTGCTAGCACGCCCGATCCCAGTAAGTTTGCATTGCATCCTTGCTGATTCTTTTTCCTTGGTTGTGTTTCTGTTTTTGTTGGTCATGTTTCTCCCTTGGTTCATGCATACCAATCTTGCGGAGTTGTGTAACATGCACTGATATCCCTGGCTTTATGTAGTGTTACAAGCCCGCATGTTTGCCTACCCCGACGCTCAGCGCTACCGCCTTGGGGTCAATTACACCCAGCTCCCGCCCAATCGCGCTGTTTGTCCTGTCTACGCGCCGTTTGAGAGGGATGGCTTCGCCACAGTGACGAAGAATTATGGTGGTGACCCGAACTATGTGCGCAGCTCGCTTTCTCCGGGAGTTGTGAGTCGAAATACCGCCCAGGTACGGCACGATGAGCGGATTCTGTCGTTTGCGTTGGGCCAGAATGAGATTTCAGTGGATGAAGAAGACTTTGTTCAGCCACGTGACCTCTGGAATAGGGTCTTTGACGAGCCAGAAAGGCGAAAGTGGGTTGCAAATCTTGCCGAGACGCTGACTGAGGTTCCTGAGCCACTGAAGGAGGCTGTGGTGAATATGTTTGGGAGAGTCGATGGTCGCTTGAGGGAAATGTTAGGGGCAAAGGTCAGGGATATTTCGCGACTGTAAAGATGACGGGGTCATGATTTTGGTGAATGTATGGGTTGTTGAGAATCCAGGGCAAGGGAAATTGTATGTTCGATGGCTACCTATTCCTATTTTCAAAACCTTGTTAGCGTCTGATTTGAAATCTGATAAGTAAGGATCTTGGCCCGAGGCCAACTGCAGTAAAATTGCACATGGAAGTTTGCCACCGGTCTGTGAGGTTAAGCACGGTTAACCGGGAAAGGGTTTCCGTCGATCCACCTTCTTCAGAACCACCCTGAAAGCCCCGGGAAAGCTTTTTTCTCGTTATACGTGGGTGGATGCTGAACAAACTCGGATACTTGGCATCGGACGACTGGAATAGAGTCTGCCAAGTCAAGGGAAAGGATTCCACTCTGGAACTTGTCTGTTACTCAGAAGCGAGTGTCCGTGAGCAGCCCACGTGGTCTGATGGATTTCCTGGTTGCATATTTTTTTGGCCTGATGACCCCCAAGGGACGGCACGGTAAGCGCCCAAACAACAATGTGCACGAAGCCCCCAACAGGACTGCGGGGCAAACTCAAGTGACAGGTCCGACGGCCAGATCCGCAGTTCCGTCGGTGCAGAACTCATACGTGCTCGCTTGGTGATCTAGGGGATAGATATGGAGGTGATAAGCGAGGTGGGACTGGAGATGTTGGAGACGAGGATAGCCGATGTGATCTTCGCGCCGGTACCGATATTTAGCCGGATTGATTTTGCTGGTAAGATTGCAGGCGATTATTAGTGCTCGAGCATCATGGGGTCTAATTTGGCGGAGGAACGCAAGGGACTCTCTTGCAGCAGATGCTAAGACGAAGCAGCTGCCGGGGTTTGACTGTTTGGCTGTCGTGCGAGTCGATCTTCGTTGAATTGGGTGTGACCAGGTACTTGAGATAGGAGAATTCAAATCGAACTGATGTACATCCTTTCAGAGCCAACTTTTTCGGGTATGAAGATTTGGTCATTTAATATAAGTCAACAATGCCAGTGATAGAAGACAAAAAGGTATTTGGAGAAGTGAATTTAGCGGAACCCTTTCCCATGACGGGCAGGTCCCACGACTACAACTAGTGGCTTTGCGAACCATGGGTCTATGACCATTGGAGTTCCACTGATGACACGACGGTGGCACAACGGTCAACCAGCTGAAGAAAATCTCTGAATCAGGCGGGATCTGTCTTGTTGGGGTCCTTTGTCTTCCTGTATTGGTTCTGAGACTATCCTTGGAAGAACTCATGTAAAGGTCATGTTATACACGTTGACGCATGGATTATAATAGACAGGGTGCATGAAAATCCTTTTGCAAAACACCAATGCCGGATAGGCTTGGGCAAGAGCAGCAACCATAACAAGACCCTGGTATTGTTGAAACAATTAAGGTTGGAATATGACAGCTCATGAGAGACCAGCAGGTATAATTAGGGCCAAAGAGTTAGCTCATTTCGATCGGAAATTCGCCCAGCCTCATAATCACGCAATCAATCGTGCAATTGGAGGAAATCGGAATAATGGTGCAGGTTAGATTAAGCGAGCTCTCTAGTACGATTCCAACCGAGTAGCCAGTGCACCATCTCCGGCTATTGGCGATGGGCTGTCTATAGCTCGGAGTCTAATCATTTAGGCTCATGCGTTTTAGCATACCATGGCTTCACCGCATAAAAACCTTCATCGATAGAACGGAACATTTTTTAAAGTATTTACGAGGAAGGAAAGTTGGCGAGGAGAGCTAGATACCATCCTGGATTGCTGGAAAGAGGAAAAAAAGGTGGGACTGTGTCGGAAGGCAGTCGGGATTCCCTCGGTCAACTCTCGCACTCTTTGCAACATAAAAAGCCTTCCGTGGAACTCTATGGCGGACTATGATTGCGATGAAGTAACCAATACATAACAGATACGTACCTGGGTTCTGCTCTTTTAACTGCAAATGTTTGTTGGACTTGAAGGAAAGAGCGGCCTTCGATAAGCGCGTGCCACGACTTCCCGGCAAAGTCGACACAACATGTGGAATGAATGGCAACAACGAATATCTGGGGCTACGGATACTATTTCCGCCAGAAGGATTTTGGGGACGAGCAGTGTGACCTTGGTTCGCCTTGATTTGGTGAGACATAGCTTTTTCGCGTACATATACAGCCCTTTGCTAATTAGATAGCGGCCACGGAAGCGCATGGAACGCAGTCGTGGTACCTCTAGACCCCAACATCTTCCAAACTCCATGCTTCTCCAGCCATATACTCCTTGACCACTGCGCCAGACACTCGAGCACGCGGTCCTTACACATACCAGATGCTGCCCGAGACAAGATGATCTACGGAGCCGGACTCATGGGACCCAGCTGAAGTTTACATCTGGATCTGGTAGGGCCCAACGCAATGGAACTGGAGGTACAGAAAGCATCCGGGACCGGACCGTCACTGGACCCAGATCCCATTACCCAATAGGGTAACAGTATTCGGCCAATCAGAGCCCCAGTGTATGGCTCTAGGACTAGTCCGAGTGGTGAGGGTTGACTGGTGCGAACTCTTGAAGCCCCTCTCTAAGGCTGCAAAGGGACCCCCTCCCCGTCAGCTTGATCGTGAGACCCCAACAGCTGCATGTAATATGATCTTTTTGACCTTTCATTTTCCCATTCTCAGACGATCTGCCGGCCAAGAAAGACTAGTAAGTGTCCATCCCGCACTAATTTTGGTCATTAAGCGCGTCCACATAACCGGGGGATGGTTGTCACCATATCTGAGCCCGGCCACCCAAGCCACGACAGTGTCCACTACGGGAAAAAGAGGGCAGGAGAGCATGCAGCAGTACCTTAGGGTACCCTAATAATGTTTACTTCCGTTTCAGCTGCACAGGGATTCGGGCAGCATCCGATCCCCGGTCCACGAGAGATGGGCACGTAGTGTCGTTCACTGCTGTTAAATCCAGATCAAACCACGTCACCCCGTGCATTCGTTAATCCCGCCTCTACCCCCTTGTCAAAGCCTCAAGCCAACTCCCAGTCACCTATCAACCTCGATTATGCCGGGAAAGCGACCTTCAGACACAGCCTCCTCCTAGATTTATCTGGTTCTTACAGCAACCCGTTATCAGCTCCACACGGCATGACCTAGATACCCATCGATAGCGCCACCATGAGCGAAGACCAAGACTCAGATTCAGCAACAACCGAGTACCAGTTTGTATTCGGTACAGACCAGCCAGGCGCCCGCAGCCATGCGATGCGACAGTTCTGGAGGCGGAGGCACCATGCCCTCCAAAGTTCCCCCCAGACAACTCGACCTCAGCTTAGGACACTACTTCCGAAGGACTATAGCTCAGAGAGCACAGGATATCAGCAGGATGCATCACAAGGTCAGACCCCCGATCCACCAGAGGGTGAAGGTCAACCAAGCTCCGCCAACGCGAGAATTCCAGCTTCAAACGAGCACTGGCAGGAGTCCTCGATCGTTCAAGGGCCGGGCCCCAGATTCCCGATAGATCTGTCCGCGAAAGACCAAGAAATCTTCTCTTCCTGTGAGTACAATGCAGATAAAGACGATACTCACCAGGCAGCTGATGTTAAACTCTGTTTAGGGCTCGATCTACATGCTAGTTTTGGCCCCGGCTTGTCACAGAGTACCGGATTTGACCCCGTACGTGATGTCTGGTTGCCTTTGGATCTATCCAATAGTGCCTCGTTTTGCGCCCTGATGGCTCATGCGGCAGCTCATGTCGCCCACCGTCAAGGTCAGACAAAGTCGATAGAATCAGAAAAGTTCAGGACCCTGGCTGTGGGCATCATCGCGAAATGGCTGGCCGATGAAAGAAGATCGACACAGGATGACACGATTACGGCTATTGCACGCCTCCTAATGTTCGAGGTGAGTATTTTCAGATTAGAAGCTTCATTGCAACATCCAAAATTCTCAGCTGAGTTCACCGTCTACGAACCAGAAATACTGGGCCATCGATGACCAATGGCGTGCCCATAAAAATGGCCTTGTCAGCGTTATCAATGCAAGGGGTGGGGTAGAGAGTTTTCGGTCAAGCTGGCGTCTTCATATGGTTCTCTTCCTGTGAGTGTTCATGATGTTCATACTAATACCTACAGCCTTTGTGTGCTAATGTGAATTTGGAATGCATAGGGCGTTCTCTCTGGCAGAGCCGTCAAGAAGTTCATCCCCAGCGCATGTCTGGGAAATCTCAGAATACTTTGTCCCCGCTACCGTGCATCCAGCATTCGAACTTCGACTACACCAGGGTAACCCAAAGGCCTCCCAAGGGCTGATCGCCTACCCTGATATCCACGAAACGATAACATTTCTGGCGAGTTCCTCAAACTTATCGGCAGACGCATCGCCGAATGTCCAAGATCACACACTCCTCTGCTTGTTTATACTTGCTGTGATATTTCAAGAGTCACTCTACTCATCATCGCCAGAATTTGGTCACTCCTTCACCGACAAGTTGCCAGTACTAAACGAAGCTCTGTCTAAGAGCAAGACTATTTGGAAACGCTCCTCGCAGGAGCTATATGAGTTTCTGATGGAGGATCATTTCAATCTCCTGCTCAGCCCCTCAGCTCGCAGCTTCATCACAAAGGTGGCCCAAAACCTGGTATATTTGAACGAGTCCGCACAGGCAGCTGTCGCAAAATGCCTTCTCAATAAACTTCTCTGGCAGAGCCAAGACGTGAAGGTTGATTCACATCTCCAAAGTGATGGAACGCGTTCAATATAAGTTGAGCGATATGCCACTCAATTTTACTGTCCAGGAGGCTATCTAGCAGCACCACGCTAAATGTGATGTCTGTACTACATAGTATAGACAGCTGCTAGCAGATAACTTCTCGTTACATCTTTCTCGATCCGCACTCCACTCTCCATCAGGTAAGGCCGTCATAACCATGACATCAACGTACATATCACCCAGGGAATAACAGGCCCTCAATAGTGAATATTCCCTATATACTACCACACTGCGTGTCAAACGATGGCATCTTTGCTTGTAATAAGCAATATCGTAGCAAATCACTACCTCGCACACGTACTCTGTTACTTTGCTGAACTCACCCCTACAACGGCGAGATCGCCACATCCCCACACAACCTGCTCTATGCACAATGACATCAAACTCTCAAATACCACAGATATCTCATGCCTTGCATATATCGACCCTTATCCTCGGGTCCGGATGATTTCTGTAAAATGCTTGTGTACATGTATGTCTCCGCCGAACCGGTCTTTTCCAATCATGGGCGAATATCAATGCCAAGAAACCCTGTCTCGCATACCAATGCATGTAAGGAGAGGCAAGCATGCAGGAACGCAAGATTCCAGTATTGCATGGTTAGGCTTGTAATAAATTAAGTTAGTACATAGTAACGGTGCAATCAAATATGTGATCTTCATGATTGATATGATTGATACCAACTTTCTGTAAACCTCTTAATCCAGAACTACAAGCGCATAGCATAACAATATCGGTACCTAATCTTCACTTGGAACACACTTTTCAATACGCAATCCCCTGCAACAGCAGGTAAACAATCTTCCCAAACCAGAAGGATTACTTCGGATCTGCCCACCGTAAGGGTCGGAATATACCCCCGAGCTTACCCCGACGGTGTTCCGAAGTTTCCCGATTCCGGTTCCGTCTCCGTGTCCGTGTCCGACACTAAAATGCGCACTTTTTGTTATTGGCTAGGATTGATTTGGGGGAGGAAGAGTATGATATTTAGTGTAGTTTATTTACAATAAACTAGGGTATTGATCTATATAGAGTTAGATCAAGGCCAATTTTTGAGTGTGTTGGTGGGGAGGGAGGGGGTTGACTATAATAGTGGGGAAATAGGTGTTGTTTTTACGGCTTGCGCGTTTGGGTGATGTTGAGTTTGGCTTCGCTTGTGGTGGACATCGAAGAGGAGATTTTTGGTAGCAAGAGGGATGTATTGTTTTGATTGGACGAGAATAGACTCAATTGAAATATATGCAGATGACCATCCGGGTCGTTTGGGGGTAATCACAATATGATCAATCTGTGTAAAACTCAATCTCAACACACTTCTCTGTCCAACAACGACGCCCAGTCCTTATTACAAGTACAAAGATGCCAGGGGCCTTTAGATCCAAAGCTTACTCGGGCTTTTTCTTTGCGGGCCCTGCATAGTGAAGAATGCTGAATGCAAAGTTAGGGTGGTCGCTTAATAGCGTGCAAAAGCTGCCACTGTATCTGAGGATCTCGATGTGGTAAGCTGCGAAATGTGCAAGATAGGCGAACAATGGGTCGTTCTCCTTGAGCTTGGAAAGAGCGAACCGTGCAGCTGATGTTAAAGCCACCGACACATGTATCCGGCTATCGCCCATCCCAGACATGATTTTCTTCATTTGTGTGATTGCAAGGCTTGCTAATTCCGGGATACTGTGTCTGTCGCAAAACACGTAGAGCTGGATATTGTCGGAAATAGAATCGGCTATTTTGCATTCAACAGATTCTTCATGGTTGGATGCGCACTTGATGTCACACTTCTCAAGATCCGCTTTTTCGGGGTATTCCCCTGTATATACCCACCCGACGAGAGCAGAGAGTGTGCTGGCCTCCGTATCCATGCAGACATAATCGTCTACTGCTTTTTCTATATGAGATTTGTAGAGAGCAGAACACTTAGACTTTAAGAGCCCTGTGTGGACTCTGAATTCTGAGTCGGAGCCCTTTGTGCCAAGAACAATGATATCGGTCTGCAGGATGTTCGTAAAAGTGCCAGTGGCTATAGATTCTAGGAGGTCCATGTGTTAGCCATCTTGTAACAGAGCGTACCGACTTTGCTTTGGATTCAGGCCCGTCGAGAAGGTACACTGTCTGACCAAGCTTGATCTTTTTATCACCACCGTCTTCTGCGGATGTCCCTTTACGTTTTGTGGTGGTGGGCGGAGGCCTGCGCTTGCTCATGATGGAAGGTGGAGTTTGATGAACCTTGAAGAGTATTTTGAGAGATTTGATGCTAGATTAGAATGTGTAGAGAAAAGAGTAGAGAAGAAGAGAGTAGTGGCGAGCAGGATATGAACTAAAAGGTTGAGTCCTCGATTATGAGAATTATACACTCATTCACTGTCACCTGCTCATAGAGCATTTCCAAAACTTGCTAGTTCGTGGAGAATATGCTTGCCAATAACACTGCTGTCAAAATAATGCATCTTGACCTCTCATTCACTTTGGGCTTGTTGAGTCTGCTGGGCTGAGGCTGTGTTTACTCCAGCGATTACTCCCTGTGAAGAAAGTCTCTGGCTCGCCATTTCTGCAGTATCATGCTATTTGTCTTGCCTCTCTAATTCTGGACTTCGCTTGGGCTGGATGCAAGAACATGTTGTCTTGACATAACTGATGAAATATGTACAACTGACTCAGCAGTGAGACGAATGCATAAACTGTCTATCGCCTCAGGCAGAAATACATATGTTTCAACCTCAGGCCACACACACTAGCCGGGCAAGGGCGTTAACCTACTTTTTGCATTTGTTCGTATTTGTGGGATCGCCTTCCACATGGTGGGAGCCTGCCTTGGTCCCACAATGTGAACCGAGGTTCTTGGCAATTCCATTTGAGCGAGTCACAATCGCGTGCGAAGCCATTCTGGTAATACCAAGCATCATATCAAAGCTTGGCGTTGAGTAGGTTTAGACTTCCAGGTTGAGTCGTATAATCAGCATTCTGCGACCCTACCACAAACATCGAATTCTTTGACCATCCCTGTGTTGAACTGAATATAAGCTTAAATTCTGAACTGTACTCGGCCGAGTGATAGGCAGCAAGATAAGTGTCTCTTGTAGCTCTGCAGCCTGCTTGGATCGTCGAAATCGGCAGCCGGTGATGTCATGGCATTATTCAGCATGGTGGGGTTGCATCAATCCCCTTTAAAGCTCGTGTTGCAGCTTCACGCAGGCTGGTAATTGAGAGCATCCTGTGTTTGCTTGAATTACTTAGAATATTCAAAATGGCCAATAATAAGGTTGATGTCACCAGATCCTCGGAGTTGAATGAGGCAACGGGTATGTCCAACTTTTCTCCAGGGAACAAGTGATGGCATAATGACCAAAACACACGATAGGGGGCCGGACTGAAGGAATGGTTCGGAAGGGAGCTATTATCGACAAGTCGGATCAGTTGTGTGCATTAGGTTGGTCAAGCCCCTTTCAAGACCTGGACTGTTTCTAATACGATTTCTGCCAGTCATGTGCGCTGAGCCCCATTCCTGCTCGGCTGTTCACCATCACGGTGAGCAGGATACCGTGGTCTACGCCGCAAAGGGCCACGGTTCCATTGTATTCGATGGGGGAAAGCAGCGCAAAGACCTCTCCCCGGGTGACTTTGCTATCATTCCTGCGTAAGTAGTGCGGCCTCTACTTGATCGAGGACATGAACTGACCCGGGATCAACCTGTGTGCAGTTACACTGAGCACCAGGAGATGAACCAATCAGACCAGGATGTCGAATGGGTTATCACTAGAGCAGGAAGAAAGCCGATCACGGTGAATCTGGAAGGTTGGTCTAATGCCTCTAGCTGAGGGCTGGACTTTGCCGTGAATGCAACAAGTGTGCATTATGTTAGTTGCCAAACATTAGCGAATGGTGTCGTCTTTGCGTCTTCAGTTCTCTGTAGCAATCCGGACATCTCTATGTAACCTGGTTGATGGGCCACGTCAGCTCTAGGATCGTAAAAAGCTTCTAACGTCGTGTCACACCCTTATTACACGTATATATCGATGAAAAAGACAAAATCCGCATGTAAATTTCATTCTACTACGTACTTGAATCTCATGGCATTGGCGAAAATCCGCCCTTGCTGTCGAATGATTAGAATATATCCCCACTTCACCAGGGTCGTCCCAACAATAGACATCGTTATCATTTTGCCTTCGAGGAAAGCTCCGGTGAGTCGGTGCAGGAAATTGAAAAGCAAGGTCGAGGGTGTCCCAGTAATCAGGTGACAACTCATATCTTCAGGAGTCCATCAATGTGGGATTCATTTTAGAACTTCCTCTCCTGCTAATACTCTCAGGATGCTACTGTTGTACCCCAGATACTATATTTCCTTCTCTTTCATCGATCTAACTACCTCTTGATCCATTCTCATCATGATATGAGTACAAGTCATGATTTACTACACAAAAAACAATGTCCCCGACTAAGCAGCATAACTACGACATGCTCGATGACAGTGACAAGCCCAGAGAAGTCGAGATCTCCCACAGCTTCTTCAAGCCGGCTGGAGAATGTGGTGTATGAATGCAACCTTATACCACATGCACAGCAGCGATAATTTGACGAATATTCAGGGGACGACCAGATAGTTAGGACAATTAGGCCAGACATATATTGCCGAAGAAGGTCACAGTTCAACCTGCATCAGCTTTTTTCTAGGCATATACATCATGTACCATAATGCTCTCTACTCCACCTTATGAGAAGGGGCTTTTATTGGGCCATTCACTAATATTTCCAAGAAGCACACTAACACAACCTTCGCCAAACATCCATATTGACGTTTAGATGAATGGCTATTGGCTGTTGACAACATAGCTATCCTGGGTTGCACTATGGTTACATTTGAATATCCTACAAGCTAGAGTGGCTACGCCTGGTCTTCAATCATAACCTTCATCCACCTTTGTTCCCATCAACACTCTGAGTTGACAGGGGATGGAATGGTTTCTTTCAAATTTACTGGGTAGCTGCAACTGATG